TTCAATAAAGAAAACCAATAGTCTTTGGAAATTTATATAATTTTCAGTTTCATTTTAGTAGTAAAGTGTGAATTTAAAGTATGAATTAATGTATATGATTAAATATGTTTTTTTGTTTAATTAAAAATAAATATTATATTTTAAAAAATAAATACAAAATGGAACAATAAAGAGAGTGAAACCTTACTTTTATATATATGATTTTAAATAATTTTCCACTAATAAGCCTTATAAAATTTGTTGTATGATATATGATTAAGTCCTTTCATTTTCTTTGCCATTTGATTATAACTTATAGTCTAATTAAATTTTGTATTGAATGATTGTCATAAACATTTATTTATTTTTTTATTTTTTAAAAAATTAAAGCCTTAAATATTTTTCCACCAATAAGCAGAGAGTGAAACCTTACTTTTATATATACTAGGTAATGTCCCGCGCATATGCGCGGATTGTTGTATATTTATTTAAATAATTTTAAATTATTTATTACTTATAAAAAATAGATTAAATAAATTTCAATGCTTATGACATTTTTACATTTTATTTATTTAAATCATACAATAGAAGCATACATCCATATCTTTTGAATTAATTCGTTGATTAATTGTTCAATTTTGATAGTAATTTTCTTTAGTACTTTTAAGTATTTTTTGATAAAACAATAATATTGTTAATGATAAAAATAGGAATGATATTGGGAGAATTTAAAAAATACCACTTTTTAAATTTACCCCATTTTCAAACTTTATCAAAACAATCACTAAAAATGTTAAAATTTATCCAAATATGTGTGTAAACTTATAAATATACACACAAATTACCTTTATTTGTGTATAAATTTTTATTTATTTCAATGTCATCCAAATTGGTTTGAATATAACAAAAAATTATTTTGTTAAAATAATTACATACTTTGAAAATAAAATAAATATACATGAATATGTGAGAAAGAAAAAAACATCTAAAGTAAAACAATGAAGATGATTTATTTAGCTTGATTTTCTTATGGTGCGATGGTCAGAAATCAATATTTTTGAATCCCATTGATAAAGTAATTTCCTTATAGCCATAAAATATTATTATACATATGTATTATACATTTCATAGTATAAAAAACAATGAAAAAATGAAGAAGTACATAAAATAAAGAAGAAATATAATTGAAAACAAAAGTTTTAACCAAATATAGAATCAAGCTCTTACAATGATATCTTAATTGAGATTTCAACCTATGCAAGAACATTAAAAATTAAACGAAGAAAATATTGAGAATATCAGATATGGTGGAGGAGGATGTAAAAATGAGTATTTATAGGATAAAATATGATGCAAGTTACAATTCTAAAATTATTAAATTAGAGGAGTTATAATTATATTTTATAGTGTGTTAATTGAAATTGAATGGAGGAAACAAATAGTCAATTGAAAAGTTATATAATTTAAGTTACAATTTAATAGTAAAGTGTGGATTTCAAGTATGAATTAAAGTATGAGAATTTTTGAGAAATACCCCTTTTGGTGTACTTCTTTTTAAAACTACCCCCTTTATCTATCCATTTTCAAAAATACCCCTTTTTAAATATAAAAAAATTATAAAGTTTTATATAGTTTATATGGTAATTCTATATAATAACTACTACTGGGAGATTCGATACAAATATTTTAAAATGTTTTAAATAGTTTTAAATCGTTTTTATAAGTTTTATAAGGTTTTTAAAAGGTTTTTAAAAGGGTTTACACGGTTTTTATAAGGTTTTTATAAGGTTTTTATAATTTATTTTTACGCTATTTAAATTTTTAATTTTTTTAACCGGTCTTAATTTTAATTTAGGTAAAAAGGGTTTAATTAAATTTAAAAAGGTTTTTTTAATTAACCAACTAATTAATTAAAAAGGGTTAAATTTTTTAGGTTAGGTTAATTTAAG